TTTAGAAGCTTAGGTGGATAATTTCTCCCGAGTACCTTGGAGATACTCTGTTGTCCTCTAACTTCTACTGTTGGTGGTAAGAATCTACTGACTGCCAAATTGCTACCCTTTCTAGGCAATATGTGTTTCTCTTTGGCGCTTTCATTTTCACTATAGTTTTTCTAGGTATAGATTTTATATTTATTTTACTTGGAAATCACTGTGGTTTTTTTAATCTGAGAATTCACATCTTTCATTGTTTTTGTTTGTTGTTTTTTTTTTTGTTTTGTTTTGTTTTTTGAGATGGAGTCTCGCCCTATGGCCCAGGCTAGAGTGCAGTGGCATAATGTCGGCTCACTGCAACCGCTGCCTCCCAGGTTCAAGCAGTTCTCCTGCCTCAGCCTCTGGAGTAGCTAGGATTACAGGCCACCACACCTGGCTAATTTTTGTATTTTTAGTACAGACGGGGTTTCACCATATTGGGCAAGCTGGTCTCGAACTCCTGACCTCAGGTGATCCACCCACCTCTGCCTCCCAAAGTGCTGGGATTACAAGCATGAGCCACCATGCCCGGCCTAAAATGTTTTCTTACTCAAGAGGTAAGGAAAGGAGAGGACAAGGGAGAATCTATCCTTCTAAGCATTGCGTCTTTAAACCTCCATCACCACACAGCCGTCACCCCCAGAGACAAACCTTGAGCATCTAGACACTTGTCACTGGCCCCATATTCAAGGCGTAGACATGCTGCAGACTCCGCCTTTCAGGGGAGTCCTTAGTATCATCTGGAGCAGGATGCCCACTCTCCTCTGGCATCCTCCCTCCTGATTCCTCTGGGCATCTGCATGGCCCAAAACTGCCGGAGGCAGCCAGCATGTCTCCCACTGTACAGCCTGCCCAGTCCTTTCCGAGGCCCCTGCCAGAGCAGCCACCACAGCCCCCTTTAAACACGCCAGTGGCATCCTCCTGCCATTCACAAGGATCAGCTTCCTCAGACAAACTCATGAGTGGCGGCACCCCAAGTGTCTACCCACCTCACCATGGCTCACTGGAGTCGTCCTGTGCCCCACCCAACACCGTGCGACACTGGTCCTGCAGCTGCTCTGTAAGGACAGGCCCTAGAATGACTCACGGATACCTCTGGAAACATTTTGTTCTCCCAGTGGGCCATCTCTGGTGTGTTACTCTGTGTAGGAACGCAGATCTGCTCAGATGAAAAGTGGAGAGCTTCTTGACCCCCTTAGATGCCTGTGTACTGTCCAGGATGGCTAGAGGTATGCAGTTTGCTGCTAATAATGGAATATTTGGGGGAAAACATCTATTTCTGTAGCAATTATGAAGAATAAACTCAGGAAAGTTGATTGAAATGACATGTCACAGCTGCACACCACTTCCCAGGTCTTAAAAGGAAATGAAAGGCTGGCAAGGAACCCGCACCCCCAACCATGGAAAAGCTTTAGAAATCAGAGGCCAAGAAAGCATGTTCTCAGAACAAATGCCTTGTGTGGAAAGCTCTGCATTCGTGGCATTTGCCCAGGTATGCTCGCTGGGTGGACAGGAAGACTTCACATCTTTGGTGCAAGCACCTTCTCTCACCACTGTGCCCCCAAGTGCAGGACCTGCGCTCTGTGTGGAGGAATAACCATCACGTGCCCAGAGTGTATCTGTGAAGCACCGCCTCAGGGTCAGGTGATTTCATTTGGTCCTTGGAACCCACTCCGGGAGGAAGAGAGAGCAGGTGGTATTCGGTGTGGGTAAGGAAGCTGCAGACAGCTGCCTTGTGTTCAAAACCAGCTGACAGATGAGACCCAGAAATGATGGAGATAAAGTATCAGCTTTACTTCTATACAAATCTGGATTGGAGGATGTATTTACAAGTGTGGCCCCGGTGGCCTGGGTAAGCAGAGGTGAACAACTGCAGGCCTCCTGCAGGCTTAGAGTCTGCCTGGAGGCTCGGCATGAGATGGCAGGCCAGCCGGACCCACCCGGTGGGCCCACCCGCCCGGTGTTGCCACTCCCTCCCTGGGGACAGGGCTCAGGAGTGTTACAACAGCAGCAGTCCTTCCACATAGAATGAAGCCAGGGGAAGGGAGGCCCCCTCCACTCTTTAGTATTACCTCTTTTATAGGCGAGGCCTTAGTGGGATGGCGAGGGGAGAGCTGACCGACTCTTAGCCAGGAGCCCTTGCAGTCACCCCACGCAGGGTGTGGGGTGGTGGGGAGATTGTTATTGTGATACTTTGGCTTCCTCTTGTGGAATCACTTATCAGGGACCCTCCTTCCCTGACCACTCCTGTTGATTAGCCTGGCCACGCCCAGCCTGGAAGGAAGAGTTGGCCCCAGGGATAGTTATGATTTATTAACACATGTAATTAATATGATCAGGCTGCCAACTGTCCTGCCACTTGTCAGCAATTCAGCAGACATTGGAAATCTGTACATCCTTCCATAAATTATTTAACTTCTCTAATCTGAAGTTCTCTGTGGGGTAAGTAGAGATCAGACTGGTAGCTTTAAAACTTTAACAGTGGAACATGTTTTATTATGTAAAATTAATGCAAGACTTCAAAATTAATGTAGAAGTGTGGGGTTTTTAGCATGAATGTATTAGTATCCATTGTAGACACTTCTTTTTAAAGTCATCCAGTATCCATTGTAGACACTTCTTTTTAAAGGACTTCTCTTAAAGGACACAAATTCTGAGAGCCAGGGTCACGGGGGCTAGTGGCAATCTCATATCTACACTCGGCTTATTTCTGTATATTGTCTCAGTAGCGCAGTGTCAAGGAAATCCGCACTCACCCAGTTGCCTTCCCAACTTAGGCATCCGTCAAACCAATGTAGATGCTTAAGAGAGGAATAGCAGAAACGTTTTATTTTACAGTTAGTCACTGACAGCAATGACCAACTGTTCATGTGAATTGCTTATGGTAAATATATTGGTCAGACAAATGGTACTCAAAACTTTTGGGAACTGACAGCATCAGAAACTCAGAGCCATGGACCACACTGCATCCCCCACCCCAATGTACGTGATGGGGCTCAGTGTACCTGGGCTCTGGTGCACTCACACAGCTTTACACATGCATGCGTACGTCCTGAGTGGACATCTTTGTTCAAATGGCCAGTGTGCCGCAGCAGCCCTCCTAGCCCATGCTTGCCATATAAGAAGTTGAATAATATGCACAGATCTAAGTGGACTCTAAGAGCTGCAAAAAGTAACACCACAGTATGAGGTAATAGATCACCAGTATTCAGTGTAACTCTTTGACCACAGTTGAGTGTATGTTATTTTTTTAATCAGTTTTTTAAACTGTAGCTAAAAAAATTCTTAACAGAATTTGAAACAGCTGCAGAGCCCCCAAAACACATCACACCCTGTGGCTCCGCTGGACTGAGATCCCATCTAGTCCTAACACTCCATTAGTGTGAGAAGGGACAGAAGGGTTACCACAGCCAAGCAGGCTGGAATCCTAAAGGGAGATGCATAGAACCTTCAAGCAAGGTTCACAGGTCCGGCAAGGAAAGACAAAGGGACGGGCAGTGGGTTGGCATTTGAGGTCCCTTCAGCCTCTCAGATCACCATTTACAGAGCAGTCACCTGATCACAGGGCTGCCCTGTCCAACGGCAGTTTGTTGGACTCTTTACTAGGCCAGGCTTACTGCTTCAACAGGTTCATGGGTCCTTGGCCTCCTATCCCATGCAGCATCCTTGGTGGGAGAGGAGGGGCTTGGTGCTCACCCTGAAGGAGAAGTCCTGTGGTCCAGAGAGCCACCAAATGTCTAGAGCAGCCACAGCTTATGGAGGCATCTCCCCAGAGAGACACCACCAGTAGGCAGGCAGTGTGGTGTCTTCCATGGTAGAAGAGTGTCCTGGGTTTAAACTCGAACTCTGCTACTTTCTCCATGACCTTGCCCCATATCATCAAGTTTTCCTAGAGCTGTAGTTTCCTTTATAAAATGGGGGTGCCAGGAGGATTCAAGAGAGCTGTGTGCAGATGTAAGGCATTCAGCCAGTGCCCGTACACAGCAAGTGCTCAGTGAGTAGATGTATACGTACAGAATATATAAGTCACCTTTTCATGAGGGCCTACCACATGCAGGCATTGCACCAGGCCCTGCAGCCACACCAGCAAGTTAATACATTCTTCAAATGCATGATGTTCTCTAGAAAGTTACAGAAAGAGACGAAAGTATGGGGACCCCAAATAGGTACATTCCTATTTCGGAAGAAGCTCAAAGCCCAACTAAGGGCAGACAGAGAGGTATCACTAAATGAGCACTGGACTGGAAGTCCAGCCCCACAAGTCTCAGGCAGCACTCACACACTACGGCAGGCTCGGAGCCTCCATTCTTGTCCACACGACCAGCACACCACGCCCTGCCCCTCTGCCTCCACGTGGGAGGGGCCCGGGAGTGTCCTGCTGTCAGTCCATCAGGAAGGCATCTCACCACAGGGGATTAGGGACGTTAGTACAGAGGCAAAGAGTCAAACTAGTGACACACTGACTAATGCCCAGGTGGAAGAGGGAGTGGTGAGCAACCACAATTCATCTTCATGACTGTGATGTTTTCACCAATGTCCCTCATTGTGCTTCTCAGCCCCTTTGGTGAGGGGGTCTGCCCAGATGATGCTGGCACCTCCCCGACTCTCCCCCGTGTCCCAGTTTTGGAGTCATCCTGCCTCTGGCAGCCCTATTCTTTTCCCTTCATTGTCTCCATCTTTTGTGGCAAAGTCTGTGGACCATAATAACTTCAACCCTCGTCAGTTTAATTGTTGCAATTGGCCCTGAGAGAATCCAGGGAATGAGAGTGGCTCTCACTGCCTGGTGATGAGGCAGCAAGATCTTTCAGCCTTTCCAGCCTGGCACTGCCAGGCTCCACAGACATGACTGTGCAGAAATGGTGCTAACATGCTTTCTGCGTGAAGGACAGAGGTGTAGATGCCTGGGGCGGTCACCGTGGGCGGAAGATGCTCTTGACAAGCTTGTGTATTGATGCCTGTGCTTCCATTGTTCCTTGTAGCCTGATGGGACTGCAAGAGCTTGCCTGCACCTGAATTCCTCTGCCTGGGAGGGATGTACGTTTCACCCAAGCCCAGAGGAGGGACCAGCCACAGGGTGGTCTGCAAGAGCTTCTCTGCAAGAAGCTTCAAGGTTGGCTCTCTGATTGCAGGCACAGGAGAGCAAGGCATTTGGAGTCAGGAGACCCGTGTTCTGGTTCTAGCCCAACTGCCTAGTTGGTTGTCCTTGGGCAATTTCTACACACTGAGTGTCAGTTTAGTCTTTGATGCAATGGAGATACGTAGCTATGTGTGGGCCACAGTGAGCATGGGAACCAGTGGGCACATCAGGACAAACCTTTGGCAGGTGCCCAGCACGCAGCACTCCTTGTCCTGGTCAGTCTTTTGCAGGGTGGTGTAAAGCATCACGGATACAATGTGCCTCATCAGTAATACGAAGGAGGTGGAGTCACCTCCCAGCTGGATTTGGTATTATTTGGTCTACTATCTCCATCCATCTCTAGGAGTCTGGCCTTGCCAGGATGCCAGAGCATCTGGCTGTGTGGAACTCGGGCACCTCTGGGTGGCCAAGTGAGTTTTGTGCTTCCTCCCAAATTCTCCATCAGATTTTGTTTGCTTGCTAAACTCATGAGGAATGCCTGCATTGTGCATGTCACAGGGTTAAGGGCATCAGTTACAGTCTAGGAGGAAGGAGAGAACCACACCGGCCAGGGTCCCAGGGGAGCCAGGCCAGCCCCGAGAATACTCCAGAATAGAAACCAGGAGACACGAGCTCAGTGCCAGCTCCTAACCCCCCTCTTCCCTCCCTGGGCCTCAGTGTCCTCTCCTCTAAAATGGGGGTCATGGTGTATTTTCCCTGAATCCCATGCAGGGCTGATGGGAGGAGGGGGAGTCATTGACTCTCCCAGTATGTCCAAGGGACAGTGCTGATAGAGGTCAAGACCTGGGATGGTCTAGGCTTGCAGCCTGCAGCCCTGGTGGCACCTCTGGCTAGGCAGGCTTCAGTCACCAAGGTAAAAACAAGATGAGGGGGAATTGCAATCTGAATACTGATTCTCCCTCCTCTATCCAGGAAGAGCCCAGGGCAGTGGGTTTGGGTTACAGACTTGTGGTTCAGTCCCACGCCTGGGAGCTCAGGCAGGTCAGCTGTGACCCTGCAGCCTCCATCAGTAAAGTGGAGGCGATGGTGCCCACCTATGTGAGTTAACACTTCTTTGGCTGCAAATAACAGAAACCAGCCCCAGCCTGTGAGGTGCCTCACAGGATCCTGTGACTGTGTGGACCCTGCAGGCAGAGTCGCTGCCAGGCTCTGGGTATAATGACCCCAGGGTCTCCAGTGCCGTCAGGACCCCCTCCTGCCTGCCTCTGGACAGCATCTCCTGCTCTTGGGCCTGTACACTGGCTTTTTCTGTGTGTCCAGTCAAATGGTGGTGAACAGCTGCCAGCAGCTACCAGGTCCACAGGCCACAGCCTAGGGCGCTGGGTCCCCTCCATGTCTGTCTGCCCCCTGTGATTCTCTCTCTCAGGCAACCACCCTAAACCAATCAACAGTGGCTGGGGACAAAACCATTGGGTCCAGGTCGCTTCCCTTGCAGGTGGGGTAAAGTGTCAGGGATACCACGTGCCTCAGCAGCAGCAGGAGACGAGGTCACCTCCCAGCCGAGGAGGGCAGGAGAGGCTGGCGTCTCCACCAGAGCCGAGGATGGGGCAGCCGAGCAGCCCTCTCCCCTCGCCTGCTGGGGCACTTGGGCAAACTGCTTCCCCGCAGTGCGGCCGTCCGCCCTTCTGTAACGTGGAGGAATGCCTCCACGCCCCCTCCTGCTGTTCCGCTCTGCTTGTTCCAGAACAGATGATAACAGAGATGGAGCATATGGGCCCCAAAGTCACCCGGCATTCTGGGAAAGTGACACTGTGTTACCCGGGGCTTGGGGGGAGGGGCCTGTCACTCGTGAGCACAGCTTCTCCCTTTGTTCTTTAGAAGGGCACGAGGTCGCCCCTCCCGAGCCTCCTGAGAGGAAGTGTGCATGCTTGGACTTTGGGAAGGATTTCCTCTGTCTAGGCAGCAATTTGGGAAAGCAGCCATGGGGTGGGCATGTATATGGGGAGGAGAACATGTGGAAGCCAAAATCCAGTCCTTCTTGGGCCTCTCCTGCCTCAGGCCCCAGGCCAAGCCTCTGCCACCCACAGGGCCACACCCAGCCTGGCCTCCATGGCCCCTGCGCCCTTAGGGGTCCCGCAGATGTGTCAGGAGCCTCCAAGAGTGCTATGAGCAGATTATGGGAAGTGCCCAGCTGGGCTCCAGGCCTAGCTCCACCCCAGCCTCAGCAGGTCCCTGCCTGGGGTTAGGTGCTTTGGCACCTTCGAAGCCAAATTTCCTCCTCCTCCTCACAGCTCTGACTGCTCTGTGTGCCACTGAGCTAGACTCACACAGGGTGTCCCCAGGGCAGGTTTCCCAACCTCGATTGGGAAGGTTGGGGGCAGGCACTGCATCAGCCTAGGGTGAGGCGGCCTGGACATTCTTCTGTCCCCCACAGGTCTGACCTGTGGTCCAGAGGGGCCATGCCATCCCCTGCTCTACCGAGACCTGGTCCTTGACAGCCCCTGCAGACACTGAGGTTGGGACAGCCAGGGTCCACATCCCTCCTGGCTTTGTGATGAGCTCATGGCAAGGCTGTGTGGCTCTTTAAGCAGCCTCTCCAGGGCTGCAGTCAAGGCTGGGGTGTGTTGGGAAAGCAACCCTGAAAGCCCAGCCCACCCTGTGCAGGCGGAGGACAGGCCCAAGAGGGGCTGAGAAAGCTGGAGGGAGAAGAGCTGGAGGGATCGAGGAAGCGGCCGCTAGACGGGGAGGGAGAAGAGCTAGGGGGAGACACAGGGTGCCCTCATCTTCCCAGTTCTCTCTCCTCACTGTGGCTCCCCGAGTCTCACCATGCAAGCTGCACAGTTTTGGGCGGGAGAGGAAGCCACCAGTTCTAAGTTCCTAGGCAAGAAGCTGCTTGGTGAAGAGGAGGAAAGAGAAGGCTTTTCACTTTTCCTTTCACCTCTGACTTGTGGCCTGGCGACCCTGGGGTTGTCCCTGCTTTTTTCTGACCTTCCCTGGTAATTCCCAGGAGGCCCTAAGATTGTGGATGTAAATCTTTGTGCTTCAGGACAGCAGAGAAGAGAACTGGCTAAATAGAACCTGGCCTGCCTGTGTGATAAGAGGGTTAGAACCAGAGGCAGGCCACAGGGCAACAGGGCCGGCCCCTCCAGAGTCCAGCCCCCGATGGAACTTCTCAGCAGGAACCCAGTGATCCTGTGCACAGCCCAGCACATTCCTCCCCATCCCCCCTTCCCCTGACATGTTTGCCTTCCCTCCGATTACAGGTAGTGACTTCTTTATAGGACAGCTGTAGACAAAGGAGAAAGCTAAAAGGGATTGACATAGCCTCTAACAAGATGATTCTTTGGTTTCTGGGCAGCAACTGAACCGGAAAGCTGGCAACAGTGCCAGGCCTTGGCCGACAGGCCATGCGAGTGATGCTGGGCAGAGGAAGGGCCAGGCAGAGTGTGCAGTGAAGATAGGCCCTCCCTGTTAAGCACCTTCCAGGCTAGTGCAAGCCTCAGGAAGAGGTGGCAGAGTCTGAGATGTGCCAGCCAGCGCTCCAGACGGTTGGTACTGACTAATATGTCACTGCCCATCCCTGGGCCTCAGTTATCTAGGCCATGAAATGGAGCTGATAGCCTCCCTCGTTACCTCACAGGGTTACTGGGGAAAGATCAGATCCAGGCTGAGGGCCCTGGAAAGTGCAATGAGCACTGGAGTCCGAGGACTGCCTGTCACAGCCTCCTCTCTTCCCTGCAGGGCCACCCGTTCATCGTGCAGTTCAATGACGGAAACGCCGCTGTGGTGTCCATGTGGGTGTGCCGGGCCCTGGAGGAGAGGCGGAGCCAGCAGGGGCCCCCGTGAGGAGAACAACCCACCTGTCGCCCCTCTCCGTACGCTGCCTGCGCAAGAAGAGCTTTGCTGGGCCCTGGCTTCCCTGCCTTTGCCTTCACCCCTGCCAGCAGGTGGCCTTGCCTGGGGAGCCCCACGTGTGGCCCGCCCCACCAGGCCATCCCCATATCTTCTGGTCTGAAGGCGCTGACGCTGGCAAGGGAAGTAAAGGGTGGGGCATTGAGAATGGAGGCTCCTAGGGTCCCTGCCCACTTCTGTTTTCCTAACGTTTTTCTCTGTAAAGGGTCAGGTCCATCAGCATCACTGATGGGAATAAAAGTATTACTGCTTTGTGACAACCCCTGCCATAAGAGTTGTGTTGTCCAGTGGGTCTGTCACCCTCCAGGATCATAGCAGAGACATCTAGCCATGGAAGGTTGACACTCCCTCCATAGGGTGCCGCATTGCTAGGGAGCCGCTGCCCAGCTGGGCTTCCATCTCATGGGTGGGATTGCTGCTATTATAAAGGGTGAGTTTGGGGCCAGGCACAATGGCTGTCGCCTGTAACCCCAGCACATTGGGAGGTCGAGGCAGGAGGACTGCTTCAGCCCAGGAGTTCAAGACCAGCCTGAGCCAACATAGTGAGACCCTGTCTCTATCAAAACTTAAAAAATTAGCAGGGTGTAGTGGTGCATGCCTGTGGCCCCAGCTACTTGAGAGGCTGAGGTGGAAGGATCCCTTGAGCTCAGGAGATCAAGGCTAAATGAGCTGTGATGGCACCACTGCACTCCAGACTGGGTGACAGTGAGACCCTGTCTCAAAAGTAAATAAATAAAAATAGCGACCTGGGAGTCAATTATTTTGATAGGGGTTTTGTATGTTACTAGCAGCTAGTATTGTGCCAACTAATGTAGGCCTTTGCATTTGGTGCCTGGAGCACACTTCCCCCGTGCATCCACATGGCTCACCTCTACACCCTTCAGGTCTCGGCTCAAATGGCATCTCAGTGAAACCTACCTAACCACTCTAAAATCGCAACCCTCCTGCACCTGCCCTGGGCCAGCATGTGCCCCTCACTTGCACCATTTTCCTCTACTGCATTCAGAACTGTGTGACACATCACTAATTGTACTTATTTTCTCTTCTGTCTCCTTCTTCCCCTGCCCTCCATTAGAATGCGGTCTCCACAAGGGCAGAGATTCTGGTCTTTTTCACACTGTATCCCCAGTACAAAGAACAGGGCCTTGGCTGTGCACAATAAATGTGTGTGGGTCAAATGGCCAAAATGGTGGAGCTGTGACTTCCAGTCCATGCGCAGTCCGGTGCCCCATGGAAGGGCACCCTATGTGAGGCATCACATGCTTCGCAGGGCAGAGTCGGCTCATCGTCTTCTTAGTAATGCTTTTCAAGGCACAGGCCCCCAGCTTTCTCTGAGCACCTGCCATTTCCCTGGGGTTAGGAAGGTCACAGAGTTGGATGGGGCCTCCTGGTGGGAAGACCCTGGCCCAGTACTCAGGGCAGGGAGAACTGCAGGCAGTGTGCATGATGGACTTTCAGGAAGAGACGCTCAGAGAGTGGAGAAAGCTCAGTGGCTCCCACACGGGGCTGACTACCCTGGAATGTGAATCAGCCGCCACCCAGACTAACGCGCATCCTCATTTTGAGAAGATCCATCCAGCAAGCCTGTCAGCCCCAAATCCCAAGTCAAGGGCAGTAGGAAAAGTGAGCAGGTACCTTGCTGGGCAGTGTGCTTAGGGCTTACTGTATCAATTCGTTTAATCCCCACCATGATCCCAGGAGGTAGATAGTGATACAATTATTCTGCCTATTTTACAGATGAAGAAACTGAAACAGAGAGACCAGGTGACCTACCCAAGGTCACCCAACAAGTAGCAAAGCACTGTCGGGATCCAGAGCCCCACTCGTAGCCACGGCTCTGATAGTCAACGCCACACACACAGCACACATACGTGCACACATGTACACACACACACATGCCCTGTCCTCTAACACAGAGGCTCCCAAACTGTGGTTTGCCAAGATAATGTTGGTACCTTTGGGAAGGTACAGGTGCAGAGCTCCCCAGGGATACAGGTGCGGAGCGCCACAGCACTGAGAACACTGCTCGAGACGCATGCTTTGGCCTGGAGGCCAACTTTCAGGATGATCTTGAACAAAGGACGTCTCCTGTCTAAGTCTGTTTCCTCATCTGTCAGTGCAGGGGTTGATCTCACTGTGTCCTGGAGCTCCTACAGCCCTGATGTCCCAGAGCAGAGTTCTCACCATTTGGGTTCATCCTGTGAACATTCTTGCCCCCAAATTGTATTACCCACATACATGCACACACAGAATTTTGTTCACAACTTTAGGGTTTGTGGAGACCCTGGAGCCCTCTCACTCATGACCCACTGTCAGGGGCCCCTGCTTTGGGGCAGCCCCCAACTATAAATTCCCCTCTGGCTTGAAGTCAAGAAGATGGGCAGCTGAGTGACCCCTGAGGGGTTCTCCTGCTAAGACTCCTCTGGCCGGAGGTAGGTCCCTCTTTGGCCTGTTGAAGTGATTCCTCCAGTCACCCTTGGGGGCCAGAGGCGAAGTTGCCCCTGCCCTCAGAGGTCGCGGGAGGGCTAAGACCTAGAACACTGCAGTGCTGGAGACTGGCCCCTGCTGGAAAGCCACCCCAGCCCGCCCTCACCCCATCCATGTGGCTAATTCCTATTCTTCCTTTCAGGCCCGTCTCAAACGGCACCTCTTTGCTGCTTTTTTTTTTTTTGGAGATGGAGTTTCGCTCTTGTTTTCCAGGCTGGAGTGCAATGGTACACTCTCAGCTCACCACAACTTCCGCCTCCCAGGTTCAAGCGATTCTCCCCCCTCAGCCTCCCGAGTAGCTGGGATTACAGACATGCACCACCACGCCCAGCTAATTTATGTATTTTTAGTAGAGACGGGGTTTCACCGTGTTGGTCAGGCTGGTCTCGAACGCCTGACCTCAAGTGATCCGCCCTCCTCAGCCTCCCAAAGTGCTTGGATTACACTCGTGAGCTACCGCGCCCAGCTGGCAGCTTCTTTATTTCCTTATCTGAATATAGACTGTAAGCCCCTTGAGGGCAGGGTTGAGGCTGACTCACCTCTATCCCAGAACCTGGCCCAGGGCCTGCACAGGGAGGGTGCCTGTGGTGTGGGAGGGTAGGAGGGAGGGAAGGTAGGGTGCAGGGATGGGACCCTCAGACTTGAGACCCTTGGGGCCTGTCACTGTCCTGCTTGAATCTCTTGCTCCAATCCTCAATATCACCCACTCACTTTCTAACTGGAGCCTCTGAAAGACCAGTCCCTCACTAGAGGCAGCCCCAGGTCTCTCAGACCTTCAGGGGAGCCTAGAAGGAAGTGTTTCCGGGACAGGAGGATCCTCGTGGGGCCCCAGCTCACAATGACAGGGAGGTGCCTCCTCTGCTTCTAGGGCCCTGGCTTGAAGGCCAAGAGGCCCCCTCACACTCAGCCCATTGTCCCTGCTTCTGTCTTTGGTTTTCCCATGTGGGGAATGCAGGATACAGAATCCCAGGGCTTTGGAGATGTTCCAAGAAGTCCATTGGGGCAGAGGGAGGAGAGGTGGAACCCTCTTCTCCAGATGTGGTGGGGGCCTTGTGGTCCAAAGCAGTGTGACCCAGAGCCCCTACCCAAGACCCAGCCCAGTGAGGGGGGTGGTCAGGCCAGTGTGAGGTGAACTGGATGGTACGGCCTCACTGAGGGAAGCTGTGGGTGTCCTGCCTGAACAGACCCACGTCTTTGGGGAGGCATATACTTCCAGGTGTCTGCACACTCAGGCCAGGGTGGAACCTCCAGGTGAAGCCTCGGGATGATGCTGGGTCTGCAGGCTGGCAGTCCCCAGGCCCCCATCACACAAGGTGGTTCAGAAGGGACTGGACAGCTGCTTCCACATGGGATGGAGCCCAGAGAGGGCCACAATGCCACCTCGAAGATGTCTTCTGTCCCCCTGACTGCTGCCCAGACTACCCCTTGGAGCTATAACCTTTAGCTAAGTCTGGCCCCTATTAGAATGGGAGCCTGGCCGGATGCGGTGGCTCTTGCCTATAATCCCAGCACTTTGGGAGGCCGGGGCAGGCAGATCATTTGAGCTCAGGAGTTTGAGACCAGCCTGGGCAACATGACGAAACCCTGTCTACAAAAATTAGCCAGGCATGGTGGCACATGCCTGTAGTCCCAGCTACTCAGGAGGCTGGGGTGGGAGGCCCACCTGAGCCTGGGAGGGGGAGGTTGCAGTGAGCTGTGATCACGCCACCGCAGTGCAGCATGGGCGACAGAGTGAGACCCTGTCTCAAAAAAAAAAAAAAAAGGAAAAATGGAATGGGAGCCTGTGTTCTCAGTCACAGAAACGTCCAGGAGAAAGAGGGTCATAGAGGGAGGATGGAGGGAGGGAAAGACGGCCCCAAGTCCCAGGGTGAGGGAGGGAGGTAGTGCCCAGTAGGTGGACAGAAGGGCGAGGAGAGGGGAGCTGCACCGATGGTTCTCAGCAGCCCAACTCCATTCCTGGGGCCAGGTGGACCCCCAGGACTGCGTCTCGACCGGGTCCCAGCTTCTACTTTGAGGGATCGGGTGTTTTCACTTCATGAGGCCGGAGGAAGCAGTTAAATCCAAGCACAGGTGAGAGGCACAAAGCAGGAGGCTGAGGCTGGCATCAGCTCCAAGGTGCTGTGGCAAAGGCAATAGGCGTGGCAATGTGGGGTCAGGAATGGGGAGGAGCAAAGAAGTCTGCGGGGGGAACCAGGCCAGGGGAAGCAGTAAACAGCTCAGGACATCTGCCCTGCGTCTGGTCCTTGGTGGGTGCTGGCTGCTCATATAGGATGTGGGACGAGGTCAGTGGCCTCCATGGCAGAGCACGGCTGCCGTGGCGCTTGCCGGCTTTGTCATCATGACTCCTTTCCGCCTTGGCAGAAATCACATCCCCAACCCAGCAGACATGCTCTTCAACTAGTAGGTAGGCAGGGCGGGCTGTGGCTGGCAGTGGGTGGAGCCCCTGAGACCGCCTGGGCTGGCACGAGCCACAGGAGTGGATTATTATGTGGGGCAGGGGAGGCAGCAGAGCCCAGACCTCATAATGACAAATTTTCTGCTGAACGACCACAAATATTCGCTGTGACTTTGGACAGAGTCTGAAAAAGACTTTGTTTCCTCCCTTGGCGGTATCATTTGTCTTGTTTTGAAGCCACGAGATTGCAGGCACGAACTTATAGACTCAAGTTTGTCTTAATTGCTGTGGTGTCACCACCTCTCTGGCAGATAACAGCACAATGAACGAGTCGATGGGGCTGAGCCCTCCAGGTCCTTCTTCTAAAGTGAGACAAAT